AAACCAAAACAAAAAAACAAACAAACAAACAAAAAAAAAAACCACTGTCAATATGTGTGAAAGGGCATCTAATTATTAATTTTCATTTTCATGGTTATTATGAGGTTGCTCACTTTTTCACATGCTTATGGGCTATTTGTGCTAACTTCTTAATAGAGGTGTTATTTTTCACTTATTTATAGGGGGCGTTTATATATTCTGGATACCAAACCCTTCTAGGTAATATGTGTTGGAAATATCTCCGCCAAGTTTTGCGTTTTTTTTCACGTTGCAGTATCCTTCAATAAATAGAAGTCTTAAATCTTTATGTGATCAAGTTAATTTTTCCTCTTGCAGTTTGTTCTTCTTCCCTATTTCAACATAAAGGAGATGCTCCCCAGTTTTTTTCTAAAAATGTTGAGAAGCTGTCTTTACCCATTAAAATATATTTCTATGTTTGGTCTCTAGGATTAAGTTTCAATTTCATTTTTTTCCCTTATGGAGATCAGCGTCCCAGCGATGCTTATTGTAAAATTTACTATCTTCACTTAACTACAGTAAAAGCTGTGTTACAAAATATGTTTACAAGTATGTGTGAAAAATATATTTATCTTTATGACTGTACTCAGATTAATTAGCTTCCAGGTCTACTGTGCCAGAGTCGGTTCCTTCTAGTGGGTTCGTGGTCTCGCTGACTTGAAGAATAAAGCCGTGCACCTTCACTGTATTACAGCTCTTAAAGATGGCACGGATCCAAAGAGTGAGCAGTAGCAAGCGGACCTGCATGGTGAGTGTTGCAGCTCTTAAAGATGGCATGGACCCAAAGAGTGAGCAACAGCAAGGTTTATTGGGAAGAGCTAAAGAACAAAGCTTCCACAACCTGGAAGGGCACCCAAGGAGGTTGCTGCTGCTGGGTTGGCAGGGGTTGGGGGGCAGGGGGACAGCTTTTACCCCCTTATTTGTCCCCTCCCATGTTTTGTTTCTGTCCTACCAGACTGCCCTTTATTCAACCCTCCAAGCGATTGGCTACTTTTAGAATCCTGCTTATTGGTGCATTTTGCAAACCTCTTGTAAGATAGGAAAGTTCCTGATTGGTGTGTTTTACAATCCTCTTGTAAGACAGGAAAGTTCCCCAAGTCAGCGCTCCACCCAGGAAGTCTAGCTGGCCTCACCTGTCGCTACCAGAGGCTAGTTTCCACCCTGGTATTTGTCAGGCCCGTAGATAGTGTGAATTCAAACCCGAACCAGTATGGCTATTGTCTTGTATTTAGAAATGACCATACTTTTTAATTTTTCATTTTTTTGTCTACCCTATTGGGACCAAGACAAGCATATATTTTCACTTTCTTCTTATGGGGTGGGATTTTCCTAGCCCAGGCACTTAGCATGCTTCTCTTTAGAAATCCTAGATTTATGCAGAAGGCATTTTAGCCTATATTCCTCTCTTCATGGGCATCAGCCTCTGTCTCCTGAATTAGGTGCTCATGGGTCTGGGCCAATAGTTACTGGGAGACACCCCAGGGCAAATGCCAAATGAGGCACTCACAGCTCTGGATTCAAACTTTTTTGCGCTTCTAGATATCTGAAAATTGTCCTTACTTTGACCCAACCCATGCATTAAAGCAGATGCTTTGAAATATTTTATGATGCATGCTTTAGGAAAGGGTCTGTCTGGATATTTTTTCTTTCAATTTGCATTTTTCATTCAATTCTTCTTTCACACTATCCTAAGTGTTAATCAACTCTTGTCATTTATGAGAGTTAGCACAAAACTTCGCTATCCTGTTCATTATCACCATTTCATTTTGTTGTGCATAGCCCAGGCTATTTATCTAAAAATGTTTAAAGATATCTAAGGCCTTTAAGGATTCTTTCTCAGGGACTACACTGTTTGTATTTCGGGAAATGCTCATTTGTTCCCGTTTCACTTTCTTCTTGGGTCACGCTCTTTGATGACTGCGACCTTACAGAGGATGACAAAAGAGGGCCCACACTGAGACAATGACACCTGCTTGCCCCTTTGGATTTTATTTTCTTAGTGTTCCCAGAATATTAATAGAATGTCAAAAACAAATTAATATCATCAGAATGTGCGCCTCACTTAAAATTTCTCTCTCTAATAGGTTTTTGTTTCCTAGTTCCTTTGGTACCCTAATGTTTAGGTAAATAGTCTCTGAGGAAAGGATGTGGAAGTCATAGCAAAATATACGCTGGACTTGAATGAAAATATCTGTTTCATAAAAGTTAAGCAGGCAACAAAAATTTACCTTTTTAAACCTAAATTATCTAAACATATAGTTACTTTTCTGCTTCATTGAAAGATATTTGAGATTGAATGTTTCTGAGACAGATTTCGGAATGCCCGCTCTCTAAAATATATTTCTTACCCTTTGTGGACTAAACAGTTATTTAAAAATGAACTTAATGATTGCTAATTACTAAGTTATCTAAACAGTTATTTAAAAAAACTTAATGATTGCTAATTACTCAGTTATTTGTAATGCATTTCAAATTAACTGTATTGTCTAAACCTTTTAACACAAATGTATGAAATTATGAAACAGAGAATTGGCTATTTTTGTTCAAATGTTTGTTCTCATAAGACTTAAAATATCACTCAGCTATATGATTAAAAATGAAGGGCTGCAGTCATTAAATTATTTCCCACTTATTTGTGGTATTTCTCCATATTAAAGGAGACAAACAGTGCTCTTCAAATCTGATGATAGTTCTATTGATAGTGGCCATCACAAGTTACACATTATTAATAAGGTAAAGGCGTGAATAAAATTTCTCCCTTTCTTTTCACTCAAAAACTACAAGTATAATTCTTTGATAAGATGCCCTAACCATGATTTGTGATGCCAATCATAGAAGGAAAGAGGATGTTGAGAAACAATAAAATCACTACTTTAAAACATTCTGTGCCTGCAGGTGTGCATATGTAACAAGCCTGCACGTTATGCACATGTACCCTACAACTTAAAGTATAATAATAATAAATAAATTAAAAAAAAAAAAATTCTGTGCCTGAATATTTTGATGGCAATATTGGTCACACTATAAATTCGAAAATATAAATTTTAATCTAGATTGACTTTAGTCTACTAGTGATTATAAGAGCTTTATCCAAGAGAAACACTTGCATTTTTATTCCTACTGTTTCTTAGAAAATGTGAAACTCCTTATTATTTTTTTAATTTTAAGAATTCCACTTCCTAGATAAGCAGAATATAGAGCCAACTGTTATGTTCTGGTTGTTTTTAATGGGTATATTTGTGTTCTCCCCCAAATTATAATTTATTAATCTCTAAGTTCAATTAGATGAGTTGATTACTTTTCATACACCATTGACTAAAGGAAACCTAATTTTACATGTAATTCAAGGGCATCTGTGAATAAGAACATTTTTAAATTAAAGCAACACATGTGCATGAAAAATCATTCAAACAGTTTGATGGGCAAAAAATCAGTGGAAACCAGGAATTTTTTTTTCCTTCCACAGACCTTGGTCCTCTTTTGCAGAGTTAGGCAAGGTTTATCATACTTTTTTTTTTTTTTTTAACTATATGCTATTCTCTTGAACTGTAAATAATATTATATAATCACCTAATTTGTTTTATCAATTTTAAGTAATATCCTTTGACTTTTTATGAATGATAGAGAATATAGCTCATATACCCTAGTTTCTTTTGTTTTCTTTCCTTTTTTTTTTTTTTGAGACGGAGTCTTGCTCTGTCGCCCAGGCGGGAGAGGAACGATCTTCGCTCACTGCAAGCTCCGCCTCCTGGGTTCACACCATTCTCCTGCCTCAGCCTCCCCAGTGGCACCCACCACCATGCCCTGCTAACTTTTTGTATTTTTAGTAGAGATGGGATTTCACCATATTAGCCAGGATGGTCTCGATTTCCTGACCTCGTGATCTGCCCACCTTGGCCTCCCAAAGTGCTGGGATTACAGGCGTGAGCTACCGCACCCGACCCATTTACCCCACTTTCTTCTTCTAAAACTGTATTTCCAATTTAGTCTTTAATCTATAATTTTAAGGGATTTTTAAAAAGCTGCTTCCTCTAAATAATATACTTACAGTGCTTAATTCTTTGCTTAAATAATATACTATTTAAATATATGGTCCCTCCAATTTGAACACCACTGATTGGCTCAGTAGGACGTGGAGATTAGTATACAATTTCCCTCCCCTCCAACAGTCCCTGTCATAGCTTTAGACTTGTATCAAATATGGTTCTATGCTTGAATTTTCACATTTTATGTAAATTACATTCTATTTTGTAATTATAATAAAGTCTGTGCTTTGTTCATAGGTTAATTTTGATCATGGAATCTCAAGTGAATTGACAGCATCATTATTAGGTTTTCTTTTTTTTTTAAACCACAGTCACAGGTGGCGTAATTTGATTTTGTGAAGGCAATGAAATGATAACACAGATACACTGAAGCCTCCCAAAAGAATCCTGTTTCCAAGATTCAAGAAGACGGATTAATGTTTTTCCATTAATTGTTTGAAATTATGCCATTTTTTACTATGTGCCATCAATTTTAAAGCACTTCTGAAAAGAGATAACAATCTACAATAGCTGACATTTTAAATTCATAAAAATATAGTATTTTCTTCAATTTGCATACATTTATGATGCATTATTTCTTATTTCCCAGGAATTTTACTTATCTTTGTTTTGAATGATTAAAAAAGAAACATAGCACCTTTTTCCAGCACATCATCAAGGTAGCCTAGTTATTATTCTTCTCTTTATGAAGGAATTGAATTGGGACAGACAGCTTGCCAGGCCTGCTGCCACTTGTCAGCATTGCATCCCTACAGTCAACTACACTTGCATCTAATGACCATCTCTTTTATTAAATTTCTTTTGCACCTTTTCTTCCTGAATGAATGCAAGATAGTTAATTTTCCTGTTCACTTGCATGTCTCAAGAAGGTTTTAATTCTTTTTATATTGCATTAATATTTAAGTTAAGTTTATAATTGCAAAATGATTTATACTCAGAACATTGAAGACTCCTTTGTTTTGTAACATCCTGTCAAAATGATGAGATGACAGATCATCCTCTAGGGAAAAATTGGTTTTGATTGGCATCAGCCTTTCCAACAGCAATGCTGGAGACAAGAATAAAATGGAGTAATATTTTTCAAGGATTAAAAGGAAACAAATTTTAATCCTTGAATTGTTTGCAGCCAAAATCTTTTAAATATGAAAGCACAGACAAAGACATTATAAAATAAGGCCTCAAAAGTTTTATTTCAAACAAATCCCTTAGAAAATGCCTAGAGGACATACTCCAGTAAGAAGAGAAATACACCGTGGTGTTAGAATTGAGGGTTCAAGAATCAATGGTAGTGGTGTTTATCATACCCTAAAAAATACATGAAAACATAACATCGAAGACAACCCCGAGTAAATTTCAGAAAGCACCCCCTTCAACAAAGGGCTGTCGTAATGGAGAAAGCAAAACCAGAGGTGGCAAGAGGAGGCTAGAGTACTTACTTGGTTTGCTGAGATGATATTAATTTTGAAACATGTAGGAAATTGAGAAAATTAACATAAATAATGATATAACCACCATTACAATGTTAAAAATTTCCAGATTTCAAACAAATGGAAAAAGATTTGATCTATAGAGTGAGAGGTACAAACAGGAAAAAAGAAACAGTAAAGAAAGTATGAAAAATTATAAAATGAGATGACAGAAATAAGTCATAATGGAACAATAATTACATAAATGAAAGTTTAAGATTGTCAGGTAAAATTTTTAAGTGTCAAAAAACACACAATATAACCTATTGAAAATAAATTAGTGGAAAAAATGTAGCAGGAAAATATGAATAAAAAGAGTTAGGTCCAATTTTTGATAAAAATTTGAATTCAAGTTGATAATATCCTAAAGAAGGAAAAGTCTGTAGACCAATAGAAGAAATAGCAGATGCATAGGTGTGCTCACAAACATGCACGCTCATGACACTAGTCATACAAACTCAAATTCCCATTACAGTTGTACACAAACGTTATGACCGACAAGAAGAAAGTTACTTTAAGCCCACTTGGAGCATTAAGACAAATTTACCATGTGAATCCATAAGTGAACCCTGAGTTACTTCTGTGAAGGAATGTAGAATGATATCATAAGTGAATTTCATATAGCACTCAAAGCTCCCCCTCTACATGGTTCAGGATAGACTTGAGTATCTACGGTTCTGGAGTGGAATGGAGGAGAAAGGAAAGGCACATTCAGATAAAGAAAATGTGTACAGAGCACACTAGGGATATCAGAAGAGGCTGCTCATGGCCAGGCGTGGTGGCTCATACCTGTAACCCCAGCATTATGGGAGGCCGAGGTGGGTGGACCGCCTGAGCTCAGGAGTTCAGGACCAGCCTGGGCAGGAAGGCAAAACTCCATCTACAACAAAGATACGAAAAAATTAGCTAGGCATAGTGGCACATGCCCTTGGTTCCACTTACTTGGGAGGCTGACATAGGAGGATTGCTTGAGCCTGGGAGGCAGAGGTTGCAGTGAGCCCAGATCGTGCCACTGCACTGCAGCCTGGGCAACAAACTGAGACCTCATCTCAAAACAAAATAAAACAAACAAACAAAAAAGAGGCTGCTCAAGACCAGACTCAGCTCCTAGGCCTTGAACTCCAGTCCCACCTCACATCCTAAGGTTCCTAAAGAATCAGTAACTTAGTTCACCCTACCCCACTACTGGCTTCGGGATGTAGCACAAATTTCTAAACTTATGCAAACAGTGAGGACTATCTATTTTGACAAAATAAGAAGAAATGGAGTCAAGGTAACAAATGAAAGATATTCTTGCCAGTTTTATTGATTAACAAAGAAAAATTGTATATAGTTAAGGTGTGATATTTTGATATTCATATACACTGTGAAGTGATGATGACCACAATCAAGCTAACATAGTCATCACCTCACTTGGTTACCTTTGTACTTGTGTTTGTTTGGTGGAGAACACTTGAGATCTACTCTTTCAGCAAATTTCAAGTATACATTATTATTCACTTTAGTCACTATGCTGTACATTAGATCTCCAGAACTTATTCATCTTATAACTGAAAGTTTGTATCTTCTGACAAACATTTTTTCTTTTCCCCCAACTTCCATGCCCTGGTAAGCACTGTTTTACTCTGTTACCATGAGTTTGGCATTTTTTTAGTAAGCATGTAAGTGAAATCATGCAGGAGTTTTGTATGTGTGTGTTCATAGCTTATTTTCTTATTTTACTTACCATAATAAACTCCAGGTTTATCCATGTTGTCACAAATGGCAGCATTTCCTCATTTTTAAAGGCTAAATGATATTCCATTACATATGTGTGTGTGTCTCTCTCTCTCTCTGTGTGTGTGTGTGTGTGTGTAATACATTTAAAACATCCATTCATCTGTCAAGGGACACAGGTAGTTTCCATATCTTGGCTGTGTACATAACATTGCAATGAACATGTAAGTACATATATCTCTTAGAGATAGTGATTTTCTTTACTTTGGATATATACCTAGATATGGGATTGCTGGATTATATAGGAGTCCCATTTTTAATTTTTTGAGGAAACTCCATACTGTTGTCTAGCCATTACAGAATGGCTGTACCAATTTACATTCCCATCAACTATCAACTAAGCACAAAAGTTTCTTTTCCTCAACATCCTCAGCAACATTTGTTACCCTTTTACTGTTATAATAGCCATCCTAATAGATGTGAGATGATATCTCATTGTGCATTTTCCTGATTAGTGATGGCAAACATCTTTTTCTTGTATATACCTATTGTCAATCGTATGTCTTTTAGAAATGTATCTCTCCAGGTCTGATATGGTTTGGCTGTGTCCCCACCCAAATCTCATCTTGAATTGTAGCTCCCATAATTCCCACATGTTATGGGGGGGACCCAGTGAGAGATAGTTGAATCATGGGAGCAGTTTTCCCTACACTGTTCTCGTGGTAGGAAATAAGCCTCACAAGATCTGATTGTTTTATAAAGGATTTCCTTTTTCACTTGGTTTTTATTCTGTCTTGCCTGCTGCTGTGTAATATGTGCCTTTGACTTCCCACCATGAGTGAGGCCTCCCCAGCCACGACGAGCTGTGAGTCCATTAAACCTCTTTTTCTTTATAAATCACACAGTCTTTGGTATGTCTTTATCAGCAGTATGAAAACAGATGAATACAGTAAATTGGTACTGGTAGAGTGAGGTGCTGCTATAAAGATATCCAAAAATGTGGAACCAACTTTGGAACTGGGTAACAGGCAGAGGTTGGCACAGTTTGCAGGGTTCACAAAAAGACAGAAAAACATGAGAAAGTTTGGAATTCCCTAGAGACTTGTTGAGTAGCTTTGACCAAAATGCTAATGATGATATGGACAATGAAATTCAGGCTGAGGTTGTCTGAGATGGAGATGAGGAACTTGTTGGGAATTGGAGTAAAGGTAAATCTTGCTATGTTTTAGCAAAGAGACTGGTGGCATTTTGCCCCTGCCCTAGAGATTTGTGGAACTTCGAACTTGAGGGCGATGATTTAGGGTAGCTGGCAGAATAAATTTCTAAGCAGCAAAGCATTCAAGAGGTGACTTGGGTGCTGTTAAAAGCATTCAGTTTTAAAAGGAAACAGCATAAAACTTTGGAAAATTTGCAGCCAGGCAATGTGATAAAAAATAAAAATCAATTTTCTGAGGAGAAATTCAAGCCAGCTGCAGAAATTTGCATAAGTAACAAGGAGCTAAAATGTTCATCCCCAAGACAATAGGGAAAATATCTCCAGGACCTGTCAGAGACCTTTGTGGCAGCCCCCTTCATCACAGGCCAGGAGGCCTAAAAGGAAAAAATGGTTTCCTGGGCTGGATTCATGGGCCCCCTGCTCTGTGCCACCTAGGGACTTGATGTCTTGCATCCCAGCCACTCTAGCCATGGCTAAAAGGGTCCAAGGTACATCTTGGACTGTGGCTTCAGAGGGTGAAAATCCCAAACCTTGGCAGTTTCACATGGTGTTGAGCCTATGGGTGCACAGAAGTAAAGAACTGAGGTTTGAGAACCTCTGCCTAGATTTCAGAGGACGTAGGGAAACACCTAGATGTCCAGGCAGAATTTTGCTGCAGGGATGGGGCCCTCATGGAAAACCTCTGCTAGGACAGTGCAGAAGGGAAATGTGGGGTTGAAGCCCCCACACAGAGTCCCCACTGGGGTACTGCCTACTGGAGCTGTGAGAAGAAGGCCACAGCACAGAAATAAATCCAAATGCATGGATTTATTTCTGTGCTCTGTATTCTGTTCCCTTGGTCTACATGTCTGTTTTTATGCCAGTACCATACTATTTTGATTACTATAGCTTTATAATTTAGTTTGGAATAAGGTAATGTGATGCTTCCACTTTTGATTTTTTGCTCAAGGATGTTGTGACTGGGGTCTGTTGCATACAAATTTTAGAATTGCTTTTTTGCATTTCTTTGAAAAATGCCATTAAAATTTTGATGGGGGTTGCATTATATCTTTAGATCACAGTGAGTAATAGAGATATGTGTCTTCTTCAAATTCTTTTATCAGTGTTTTGTAGTTTTTGGTATATAGAAATTTTACTTTCTTATTTAAATGTATTCCTAAGTAGTTAATTTTTTGATGCTATTGTTAATGAGATTGTTTTCTTTGAGATGGAGTCTCGCTCTGTTGCCCAGGCTGGAGTGCAGTGGTGCAATCTTGGCTCACTGCAAGCTCCACCTCCTGGGTTCACACCATTCTCCTGCCTCAGCCTCCCGAGTAGCTGGAACTACAGGTGCCTGCCAGCATGCCCGGCTAATTTTTTGTATTTTTAGTAGTGACAGGGTTTCACCGTGTTAGCCAGGTTGGTCTTGATATCCTAACCTAGTGATCCTACTGCATCGGCCTCCCAAAGTGCTGGGATTACAGGCGTGAGCCACTGTGCCAGGCCTGAGATTGTTTTCTTAATTTCTTTCTGGGATAATTCACTGTTAGTATATAGCAATGCAACAGGTTTTTTAATGTGTTCTGCAAATTTGCTGAATTTTGTTTCTTAATTTTAACAGTTTTTAATTGGAGCCTTTAGAATTTTCTCTATATAAGATCATGTCATCTTCAAACAGAGACATTTTCACTTCTTTTCCAAGTTGGATGCCTTTTATTTCTTTTTCTTACCTAATTGCTCTGGCTAGGATTTACAGACTTTTTCAGAAGCCCCCCAGAATAATCTAAGGGAGTCCACTGTCACTAGATCTGCTTTATAAGAAATCCTAAAGGGAGTTCTTCAAACTGAAATGCAATAAGACTAATTAGTATCATGAAACCATATGTGGTTATAAAATTCACTGGTCAAAGTAACTATACAGTTAAATTCAAAATACTCCTAATACTGCAATGATGCAGTATAATCACTTTAACTTTTAAAAGGTTAATATTACAAATAAATATAACTACAAAATATACAAAGAAATAAACTCTGACATCAAAAAATATAAAAAGTGGAGGGGAGTAAAGTGTAGGGTTTTTGTGTATTATTGAAGTTAAGTTGTTATCAACTTAAAATAGACCATTGTAACTACAATCATGCATTTCTTAATTTGGATATGTTCTGAATAATGCCTCATTATGCAATTTTGTCATGGTGTGAATATCATAGAGTGTGCTTACACAAAATTAGATAATACCACCTACTACACACCCAGGCTATATGGTATAACCTATTGCTTCCAGGCTACAAATCTGTACAGCATTGTACTATACTGAATGCTGTAGGCAACTGTAATACAATGATAAGCATTTGTGTATTTAAATGTATCTAAACAGATAAAACAAAAATGTTATAACCTTATGGGACCACCATTGTATATGTGGCCCATCATTGACCAAAACATCCTTATGTGGCACATGATAGCATATGATGTTTTATGTAAGCCTCATGATAATCACAAAGACGAAACATGTAATAGATACACAAATGAGAATTTTACCACATGTTTAAAAAAGAATTACTACAAAGACACAGCAAAGAATCAAAGTATACCACTACAGAAAATAATCAAAATAATCAAATCATGCACAGCCAGAGAGAAATAAAAGAACAAAGAAACTACAAAACACCTATCAATAGTTACTTCAAATATCAGTGGACCAAATTAGTGAAACAGAAGACCCAGAGTGGCTGAACGGAGAGTAAAACAAGAACCAAATATATGCCACCTATAAGAGACTCTCTTCACCTTCAGAGACACACATAGACTGAAAGGAAAGAGAGGGAACAACAAAAAAGAAAGAGTAGTTATTCTTACAACAAACAAAATAGACTTTAAGTCAAAAACTGTAACAAGAGACAAAGTCATTATAGAATGATACAAGGGTCAATTCATCAAGAGGATATAACTACTACAAATACATATTCTCCCAACATTGGAGTACCTAATTATATAAAGCAAATATTAACAAATCTGAAGAGAGAAGTAGACAACAATAATACAATAACAGTAGGGGACTTCCATATCCCACTTTCAACAATGGATTGATCATTCAGACAGATAATCAATAAGGAAACAGCTGACTTGAACTACACTATAGATCAAATGGACCGGATATACAGGACATTCCTTTCCAAAACAGCAAAATACACATTCTTCTCGAGCATACACAGTACATTCTCCTACATATGTCATATATTAGGCCAGAAAACAAGTCTTAGCAAGTTTAAGAAGATTGAAATCTTACCAAGTATTCTTTCTGACCACAGTGGCATGAAACTGAAAATTAAAAACAGGAGAAAACTTAGAAAAGTGACAAATATGTGGAAATCAACCAACACACTCCTGAACAACCAACAGATCAAAGAAAACATCAAAAAAGAAATAAAATATCTTGAGACAAACTAAAATGAAAGCACAACATTCTAGAACTTATGAGATGAAGCAAAAGCCGCTCTAAGAGGGAAGTTTATACAGATAAGTACTAAATGAAGAAAAAAGATCTCAAAGAAACAATAAACGTCAAAGAAAAAAAATCAAGCCCAAAATTAGAAGAAGGAAGGAACTAACAAAGACCATAGCAGAAATAAATGAAATAGAGCAGAAAAACAACAGAAAAGATCAATGAAATGAAAAGTTGATTTTTTGAAAAGATAATAAAAATTGACCAACCTTTCACTAAGCTAAGAAAAAAGAGAGAAATCTCAAATAAATAAAATTAGAACAAAAAAGGAGATATTAAAATTGGTACCATAGAAATACAAAGGACATTAATAGTCTACTCTAAACAACTATGTGTCAACTAATTGTTTAACTTAGAATATAATTTCTAGAAACATACATCCACTAAGACTGAAACATGAAGAAACAGAAAATCAAAACAGATAAATAATGAGTAAAAATATGAGTCAGTAGTCAAAAAACTCCTGAAAAAGGAAAATCCAAGACCAGATAGCTTACTGGAGAATTCTAGCAAATGTTTAAAGAAGAATTAATCCCATTTATTAACAAACTCTTCCAAAAGTTGAAGAGGAGGGAACATTTCCAAACATTTTTTATGAGGCCAGCATTACCCTGATAATAAAGACAGAAAAGGATACTATAAGGATGACATATATTTTTAAGGTGCAAATGATGTATTCTTGGATTTGAAAATACAGGATTTGTTTGTACAAAGATTTGTGTGTGGATAGGTGGATGTGTACTGGTGTGTGCATGCATACATATATAAGCTTATCTTGTTTTATTGCACTTCACTTTACTATGCTTCTCAGATATTGCATTTTTTACAAATTGAAGGTTTGTGACAACCCTGCATCAAGTAAGTCTACCAGTGCCACTGTTCTGGTAGCATGTGCTTATTTTGTATCTCTGTGTTACATTTTTGTAATTCTTGCAATATTTGAAATGTTTTGTTATTATTATATCTGTTATGGTGATCTGTGATCAGTGATCATTGATATTACTATTGTCATTGTTTTGGGGCATCACAAACCATGCTCCCCAAAAGATAATGAGCTTAATTGATACATATGTGTGTTCAAATGGTTCTATCAATCTGCCCTTCCTCCATCTCCCCCTCTCCTCAGGTCTCCCTGTTTTCTGAGACACAGCAATATTGAAATTATGCCAATTAATAACTCTACAAAGGCCTCTATGTGTTCAAGTGAAAGTAAGAGCCACATATCTCTTATTAAAAATCAAAAGTGAGAAATGATTAAGCTGAGTGAGGAAGGCACGTTAAAAGCCGAAACAGGCCAAAAGGCCCAGGCTAGTCTCGAACTCCTGGCTTTAAGCAATCCGCCTGCTGCAGCCTCCCAGGTGGCTGAGATTAAAGGCATGAGCCACCATGTCCAGCTTCTATGCATTATTTTAAATGGAGTATTGAAGACTCTATTACTGTAGAACTATTTTTAATTTCAATTCTGTCAATATTTGGGTCACAGTTAGGCCTTAATGTTATTACACGCCGGTCTGATGCTCATGGCCAGGCCATTTTGTTTTCCTGTTGGATATAAACAATCTCACAGAATAATGTCAACTTCAGAAGGTTAATCGGAGACCGTGGTAAGTGCAAACAAAAACAAGGGCACTTTATAATGTTGTCTAAATGCAGATAAAAAACAAAGTCTTGATGCCACTTCTGACAGCATCCAACCTAAAATCTTCACTTTCTGAGACCCTATCGAAAACCAACCAATTAAACCCCGACTCGTTTAATAGTTTCTCTCTAACTCCTTCCACTGAGATGACCCATAGTACCCCATTCCTTGCTGCAATGTAATTATATTTTCCACAAGTGTGCTCCTGGTGGTCTTTAACTGAAGGGCACTCACTGGGTCACTGGTGAATTTCCCCGCAGGAACTGAGTCAGACCCCATCTCAGGGCCCTGAACACGATAGGGGCCTGCTCTAAGGCGTGGGCCCTCCGGACAGCCCCGGCCTGTCTTGATGGCGAGGGTTACTGTTCTTGTCCCAAGCGTACAGCTGAGGAAGGGGAGACTCAGGGCGAGCGACCGGGGTCCCAGTGGAGCCCCCGGCACACGCCGACACTGGGGCACCAGCCGCGATGGCCACCACTGTGCGCGGAGACGGCTGCGACGCGTGCGCGGGTAAAGTCCCTCGGCGCCTTGCCTCCCACCGGCGCCTTCCCCAGCCCCAGGTTTTTGTCCCCGCCAGCGGCTCCGACTCCATCGCGTCCTCTTCCAGTCTAATGCTTTTTTCCACATCTCGATCCCAAACTCCCTCCTGCCGGAATCTGGACCCGAATCCACCCGTTGCCCATTTTCCGCTGCCGCTGGAGAGAATCTCTGAGGTCCCCAGGACAGCCTGCCTGCACGGAAGAGATGCCTCCTCAGTATGGCCGCCCCCAGAGAGGAGCGATGAAGTGCAGGCCTCCATGTTGCTCTTGAGCCCGAGCGGCTTTAGGGAGCCATGTTTATTACTGGCGGGCGCCGGCCTCACTGAGCATGTGCAGCCCTGGCCGGGCGGCCTCGAAGTTCTGACGTCACAGGGCGGTTCCTGAAGTGGACATAGTTGTAAGAGCTAGTTATTGTAGACAATGCCTCTGGGATCAGGGACTCTAATCTGGAAATAGATAGTAGGAGAGGTCGGTAATGCTGTCTCTGGGTCAGAGACCTGAGCTATGTGGGGTTAGAGAGGGGCCCTGGGCAGGCGAGTCCCTGGGGAGTGTGGTGACAATCCTTGTGTCAGATGCTGGGAGGAGGTGGGGTCGGGGCTGGGGTCCGTGGGCCGACGGGTTGGGGGAAGGTCAGCGTCAGCGATCAGTAGTAGAGATTCTGTGTGCCCTGATCGCCAGTGGAGTTTTTAAATACAGAATGTTCATGAGTTTAGCAATGTTATTCGCCTCTCATTATTTAAATAATTTGAAGTTTTCCCCAATAACTAGTGTCTTAGAAGTTGTGAAAATTTCAGAAAATGACAGGTCTTCCGAGTTCGTGATGGGAGTTGGGTAGCACTCGCTTACGAGCACCTGGAGAGTTCCAGGTGGTGAAGGTTTAGCCCAGTAAAGCAGAGAGGTTAGGAGGTTAAATTGGGGGCTCTGGAGCCAGACCTGTGAGGATCTGAGTCCTGGCTCTGGCACTTAAAAGCTGTGTGACCTTGGTCAAGATACTTGGCCCCTCTGTGCTTCAGTTTCCTCATCTGCTAAATGGAGAAATAAGGGCACCTACCCCATAGGGTAGTTGTGTGATTACACAAGTTAATACACTTCAGTCATTAGCAAGAAAGTGAATGTCAAGCTGTATTTGTTCAGGCAGCCATATGGTAGCCCCACTTCATTAATAAACTGAGGTATTGAAGTATTTTCTTTTTCTTTCAGAAAATATTTGTCAAGCACCTTCTGTGTTCTAAGAACTGTTCTAGGGCTTTGGATGCTATGGAGGTCTAGAAATTCACATTATGGTGGCAGGTGACAGACAGTACAAAGAGATAAAGTAATTCCATATAGTGATAAGCCAGGGAGGAGTGCTAAAAGGAGCCAAGGTGTAGAGGTGACTGGAAGGTGACCAGGGAAACCGCTGTAGGGTTTCTAAGTGATGAGATCTGTGACAAATCCCTGTGGTCACCAGGGGGCATTGGTTGTGTAACTTTATTCTGTCCCATTGATCTTGTAGTCAACCCTGGTCTGTTCTGTATTGTTTTAATTACATAATATTTGTAATAATGTTTAATACCTGGTGGAGTGCTCTGTTTACTTATTTTTGCGTAATTAACCACCCCTAAGCTTAACTTCATGCTTCTGCAGGGTGGTTGATCTCCATGGTTCTAGGTGGTTCTGCATGGGGCCTCTCACATGTATTACAGTCAAATGTTAGCTGGGGCCACAGTCATCTGAACTCACTTACATGACTGGCAATTCATGTAGACTGTTGCCTGGAGAAGACATATGTGGCCTGGTGGAATGGAATGGCAACTAGGTTCAAGGAAGAGCTTCCCAGGAGCAAGGCTCCCAAGAGACCGAAGTAGAAGCTTCAGTTTCTTTAAAAAATAAAATAAAATTGGGCTGGGCGCGATGACTCATGCCTGTAATCCCAGCACTTTGGGAGGCCGAGGTGGGCAGATCACCAGGTCATGAGATGGAGACCATCCTGGCCAACATAGTGAAACCCGTCTCTAATAAAAAATAAATAAATACAAAAATAAGTTGGGTGTGGTGGCATGCACTTGTAGTCTCAACTACTCGGGAGGCTGAGACAGGAGAATCTCTTGAACCTGGGAGGCAGAGGTTGCAGTCAGCTGAAATCGCACCACTGCACTCTAGCCTGGTGACAGAGCGAGACTCTGTCTTTAAAAAACAAACAAACAAAAAAACAAAACAAAACAAAACAAAACAAAACAAAACCCAATCCTAGAATTCCCAGAATGGAATTTATGTCATATTCTGTGGATCAAGCAAGTCGCAAGGCAACCAGATTCAAGGGGAGGGGAGTTATTCCTCACCTCTTGAGAAGCAATGTGTGTTGAGGAAGGGAAAGAATTGATGGTAGCTGTCTTTGACTTCTACCATATAGAGCAGGGTCTTCACACTCTTTTCTTCCTTAATAATCTTCCATTTGAAAATTTTCCCTGCAATTCTCACACCTTTATTATTTCATATAAATTTTACAATCAATTTTTTCTTGTCTAGATAAGCATGCCATTTGGATTAAAATTGCATTACATTGCATTACTTTGCAACTTTTGAGAGATTGTGGGAGGGGAATTGGCAACCTTATAATATTGAATCTGCTCATTAAGGAACGTAGTCTGTCTATATACTTAGGTTTTATGTTTTTAATAACATACATGTTGGTATTTCTGCCTCGGCTTTTCTCTTTGTTTTTTCATGTAACCCATGAATGAGACTGCACTGTCTGTGTGATTGGGCAGTTGCCCAAAGTTTAAGGTGTTAACATGCATTAATTCACTTAATCCCTCCTCATTTCCTCCTTCCCTCAACCCCTGACAACCACTAATCTGCTTTCTGTCTCTAGATTTGCCTGTTCTGGACATTTTATATAAATGTGTCATCCAATATCTGGTCTTTTGTGACTGGCTTCTTTCACTTAGCAGGATTCTAAGGTTTTTTGAGGTTCATTCATTGTGTAGCCTGTATCAGTACTTCATTCCTGTTTATGATTGAATAATGTTCTATTGTTTGTACATATGTATGTATACCACACTTTGTATATCCATTTATTCATTGGGGGACATCTGGGTTATTTACAGTGTATTTCAGGAGTCCCCAAGATCATCCTCCCCCTTGATCTACTGCTATTTGTACCTTATATGACCTCTGCTGAACTATTTATCTGGAAATTAGCCGATGGTTAACTAAATATAGTTCTAAAGACTCATTTCACAGATTCCTAGAGTAGGAGCACAATGCCACCAGTCTCCTTGCTAAGACACAGCAAGAGTGACCTTTGCTACAGTTCCCAATAAGTTCCTCATCTCCATCTGAGACCACCTCAGCCTGCATTTCACTGTCCATATCACTGTATGAGCATCTCGGTCACAACAATTCAACAAGTCTCTAGGAAGTTCCAAACTTTTCTTCTTGTCTTCTGTTTTTGGTTTTTGTCTTTAGATGGAGTCTCACTCTGTTATCCAGGCTGGAGAGCAGTGGCACTATCTTGGCTCACTGCAGCCTCTGCCTCCTGCATTCAAATTATCCTCCTACCTCAGCTTCCTGAGTAGCCGGGATTACAGGCGTGCACCATGATGCCTGCCTAATTTTTTTTTCTTGTATTTTTAGTAGAGACAGAGTTTCACCATGTTGGCTGACTGGCTTTGAACCCCTGACCTCAAATGATCCACCTGCATCACCCTCCCAAAGTGCTGGGATTACAGGCATAAGCTATCATGCCCAGCCATCATCTTCCTGTCTTCTTGTAAGCCTTCCAAACTGTTCCAACCTCTGCCTGTTACCCAGTTCCAAAGTCACTTCCACATTTTCAGGTATCTTTGTAACAATTCCCTACTTCTCTGGTACCAATTTCCTGTATTAGTTTGTTCACACATTGCTATAAAGAACTACTTGAGACTGGGTAATTTATAAAGAAAAAAAGGTTTAATTGGCTCATGGTTCCACAAGCTGTACAGGAAGCATGGCTGAGGAGACCTCAGGAAACTTACAATCATGGTGGAAGGTGAAGGGGAAGGAAGCATATCTTCACATGGCCAGCAGGAGGGCAGGGGAAGTTATTACACAGTTTTAAACAACCAGATCTCATGAGAGCTCTATCACAAGAACAGCAAGGGAGATGTCCACCCCTATGATTCAATAACTTTCCACCAGGCTCTTCCTCCAACACTGGAAATTACAGTTAGACATGACGTTTGGCTGGAGACTTAGAACCAAACCATATCACCAACGCTATAAAGAAACTGAGGCGGCCAGGCGCGGTGGATCTCGCCTGTAATCCCAGCACTTTGGGAGGCTGAGTCGGGCGGATCACGAGGTCAGGAGAAAGAGAACATCGTGGCCAACGCAGTGAAACCCCGTCTCTACTAAAAATACAAAAAATTAGCTGGGCATGGTGGCAGGCGCTCGTAGTCCCAGCTACTCAGGAGGCTGAGGCAGGAGAATGGCGTGAACCCGAAGACGGAGCTTGCAGTGAGCCGAGATTGCGCCACTGCACTCCAGCCTGGGTGACAGAGCAAACTTCGTCTCAAAAAAAAAAAAAGAAACTGAGGCACTGATGTCACACTGCTGGTGGATCTGAGACTTGATCTCAGGCCAGCCTGATTCCTAAGTGGTATTCTTACCCTATTGCCTCAGGATCAGGGAGAGATATATGGAGCCTGTACATTGCTAAAGAACAAGTTGAAAGAATTTTATTTCCAACAGTAGGACTGATAAGGACCAGCTGAAAACAACTAAAGCTTCTGGAATACATTTCAAGGACCTTTTAAAAACGTGTCAGTGAGCTACAAAATAAGAGTTCCAAAAAGTCAAAAAAGTTTTAAAATGGAAGTGAAACCCAAAGAAGTAACTAAGGCACTGATGCCACTTTTCACCCTTAAGATATTTGCCAAATGTCAAATTAAACTTTGCTGTTTTTCACAGCCTGAGGTGGGAAAGGGGCAGCAGAACAGCAGACAAAGCTGAGGGCCTGCCCGAGTGGGAGGGGCTAAAAGGAGACATCATAAAGTGAGATCCAAAAGGACAGACTTAGTGTAAGGGTGAACTATGAATAAACCTTTCCGCCTCCCCTGTATGCTGCCCTTGGCCCCTGCTTCCCTAGGAACAGTGAGAAACATTGTGCATCCTGAGAGAAAACATCTCCCCTGAGAGTTTTATATATCTATAAAACCAGCCCTTTAACTGGGTTGTTCACACAAGCTGGGTCGTCTAAAATGCGTCAAGCTTCAAATTTAAAGCAGTATCAGCTTTTTGGTGCCTTCTAGGTGACTGACGGCTGCAAAATGGATTGTCTTTGGAGGAACTCTGAGATAGTTTC